AACACTGGGCTCTGACATTTTTTAAATCGAATCGTTAGAAATAAACGATGCGCGATGATTTGATTAATATACGATTTTTCGGAAATACGAAACTCATGAAATGAATATATAATTTTGTTTCGTATGTGCGAAGTTTTTGAGAATTTCTGATTTCTGTGGAATAACACGGAGGGTAAACTACAAAAATAAGAATTTGGTGTAGGATGACGTTTTATTGGTTTACTAAAATATTTAAGTTAATATTAATATGAAAAGTATATTTATATTTTTCATAAAAATCATGCTGCTAGTCACGCTGCTAGCACGACCCGAGCCTAGCACGTAGATGTATACGACCCTAATTGTCAGAACTTTCATTTTTTAATAGGATATTCATTTAACGCTTTAACTGCGACGCTGACAACCTGAAAAATCTCATAAAAATTTATTATATTTTACTGAATTAAATTAGTTGCGAGTTAAAATAAGTTGTACGACATGAATTATGTGCTCACCATTCTCACGTTTTGCGAATTTTAATAAAATTAAGAAATTATGATAGGAAATTATAACAGGATGAATGTTAATCTTCGTATCCGAGCAAATAAAATGAATAATTATAGCTTGGAAATTCCTTCGAGAAAAATCCTACAGATCGCGTTCTTTTCTAGCGTAATTATGTGTCGGACATATTTCACGCGAGATCGTAAATAACGAAGACAATTTCAACCCTTAGACGCATACGGCTCGCTGTACATATTGACAGCGGGATCTTCATTTCGCCGAAACAGCGGCCGCTCGTGAAAATCCGTAATTTCCCGTCGCGAGAATTGTCCGGTAAAATTCATCGTGCGGTCGACTGCCATCCATTAATCGAAATTTTTCAGCGCGCGTGCCTTTTTTCCCCGCCGTAATAAAAAGGTTTCATTACATCGGCGCACGTTTCGAACACAATACCGAAACGCGGACGCGAGTCCCCCGAAACTTTTTTCGTGAAAAATCGCCCCGCGCGGACTTTCCGCGCGGAATAATTCATCGTGCATGGTTTTTATCTCCCGGCCTTTTTTTTTTTTTTATTTTTGCCCCAGGGTTTTCCAGACGCCGAGGGCTCGCGGAAAATATTTTTTCCCATAAATTTCGGGCTTCGAGGCTCCGCCGCAAATTAGACTTCGAGCAACTACCACGCCGAAGACCGCCCGAATATTCGGCTCGGACTAACTTCCGGCTGCTTTCCGATGCTAATTGGTCACCGTATTTTCGATCGGCTGGATTAACAGACGCGTCGGCCAAAAATGTATGTGGACGGCCATCGGTGGATCGTCGTGGACCCACATATTTCTATGCTAATATCTAGATAAAAACGCTTATTCGCATTTTCATTTCTCCAGCACTTTTTTATTATAATATATTATTTACATGATTCTTATTATTTATACATTTATATAATTATTTATATTATTATATTTTATATTTTATACTTTATTTTATAATACTTTATGTTATTATATTTTATATTATTATATTTTATATTATTATATTTTATATTATTATATTTTATATTATTGTATTTTATCTTATTATATTTTATATTTTATATTATTTATATATTATTTGTATAAATATATCAATATGTATGTTCAATGAAGCACACTTGTCGAATAAATTTTCTATAAATGTTCACTCTTTACAATTCCAATGATATAAATGATTATTCTTCAGAACTTCAATAATCGTTGTTCAAATAAAGTAAATCCAGCCTTATAAAAAATATGGTTCAATGTGCAAAAAATAGCGATGGCTTTCAATAATAAAAGCAAATGATCTTGGGAATCGTAATATTTTTAGCATTGAACTAAATGAAATTGTCCTGACAAATTTTTCTATATCAGCAAAAATATTAAATATCAATGTGCATTTTCAAATAAACACCCTATATTTAGTATCTACAAAAAATGCATTATTGTCTTTTGAATTTACCTTACAAATGTGCATTAGATCGTTTCTCATTCGATTTTGAAATTGTTCCAAGCTGTGTATTATTCCTGGCAAAAAGTATTCGAAGATCTTTTAAGTCGCAATAACTTTTTTAAAACTGGACTGAGCGACTTGGACATGTTCTTTTTAACGTCCTCGAAAATGTACTCGAAAATACTCTTTTTATTTTGCTAATACCTTCGACCTCGGTCCGAGAGATTTGCTCGAGAAAACTGAGCAATTCTAACTAGTGGAGCCAGTTACTGTGGGGTGGCCAATAGTTGTGCCTTTGGTTTGTTTTTCGGGAACAACTTAAACTTTATAATGATAATTAAATATATAATTAAAGTGAATTAAGTCCCGACTTTATAATGATAATTAAATATATAATTAAAGTGAATTAAGTCCCGACTTTATAATGATAATTAAATATATAATTAAAGTGAATTAAGTCCCAAAATAAAGGCACAGTAATTGGTCACCCCACAGTAACCGGCTCCGTTACCTTAGCGTTCCCACCCGCGAATCCTTATATTAAATGAAATATTAGGTTCTTACGAACCTCGAGAATAAAGAAGCTAATTTAATATAATTTTCGTAGACGCAGCAACGCCGCCGGAAAGAGAAATCGCCTGAGTGATCGGCGTAAATTTATTTCGCGCGTTTTATCCGACTTTCATTCCGGTAACACGGATCGAGGGATTAAGCGATTGAATTATTCGCCGTTGTTGGGAACCGTTGCGAATGTAAATCGTTGCGGATTAATTCACTGGGACTGCGACGCGAACAGAGATTCGTCAACTACGTTAATGATTATCAGATCCGAAATTAATGCCCCTCCGAGCGGACTTAACAACAAAATATACCGGTCGTATTTCACTTGAATTTTTTTTCCGATCCGATATAAATTCCAATTCATCGTCTTAGTTGCGATGCAACAACGTTTCGTCGATATTTCACTGAATTTCGATTTTATCCCTCGCTCGCTAGCGTGCGCTTCGTGTCGCCGACATTTCCGTTATGCAATTACGATATTTATTATTGAATGTGACTTCGCGAGAATTCGGATAAAGCGAATCGTGTTTCGAACCTTGCCGACGAACCGCGATCATTTACTGCTCTCGCGGCATCGTCTGTTAGGATAAATGCGTCGATTACTGTGTCACTAATTACTGTAATTATTTTTTCCAAAACCTTAAAGCTCGATTTTTCTGAAATATTATTATTTGCTAATTAAGAGGTTAGGTACTTTGAAATCTTTTAAAAATCGAATTTCTTTTCTTCGTTTAAATAACAGTCTCAAGTCTTAAAAATAAAGTGCGAAAGGTCCCATCAATGAGAACAAATTATTTTTGGAAGTTACCTTTACTGTAATTGACGATCGATTCTTTTCTTAATTTTCAATTATTTCAGGAAATATAAACGAAAAACGTACAAAAGGCCTAGCCGATTAAGGTGGTCAAAATTACCCTTAAAGGTTTTTTAATGACTATTATACCGTCGATATCGATAGTTGATCAAGGAAAACTCACGTGTGCAAAACTTTAACCCTGTAACTTGTCTGTATCAGGGAATTAATATAAAAAAGCCGCTATTTTTGTTTTCGAGAAATCTTCAATTTTTCGAATTTTTCTTTTTTTTTTTGGTTTTCCATTTGTGGTAACCACAGCTTGCAATCGAAAAATCGGAAAAAATTCTGTAATATGCGGCTTGGTGTCCAAAATAAGCCACACTGTTTTTCAAAATTTTAAAAAGCCACCGAAGGGTGAAAATGGGTGGAGAAGCGCGCAATCTAATTTACTCTGGACAAACTACCCTCATGGATAAGTTACAGGGTTGGAATTATTCACAAATGAGTTTTTCTTTGACAGCTATCGAACGGTATAATAGCCATTAAAAAAACACTAAGGGCAATTTTTCTCTACAAATTCGATGGGTCAAACACGAATAGCCGTCATTCTGACAATTTTCACAACAATGAAAATGTTCGATCGTCAAGCCTAGAGAATATACTATAGCTTAAAGCACTTTTTAAATTGTTGCTCTATTTCTTTCGTCAAGAATCCTGAACACCGTCGGGTCATCTTAAGAAAAAGTCGTTAAAAACCGAAACAAATAACATTTCAAACAAATTTAACACATTCCGTGCCGAGCTTTTTTTACTCGAATCTTCACACTTTGATATTTTACTAAAACTTGATGTATTACGTGCAATTATTAATTCTCGTACACATAACAACGTAACAAAAACTTATCAACGCCCATTCCTGCGGTGGAAATTGATTCTTCGGTTCTAAATTTCTTGTAAACAATTTGTTCAGTTCACTAAGTAAACATGCAAGCGTGTACCATCGATGGTACACGTGGCACGGAACGTGTTAACGCTGATTTTCAGTAGGCTAAATCAATGTAAAGTGAGCCACAAAAATTCACGTCAATCAAATGTTTACTTTCTTCAGAGTATGATTAATTTTCGAACGCGTCAAAGTGGCCTAAACCCGTTAGCGGGCACAGTAATTGGCACGCTTGCCCTGTTTGGAGTTCACCGGAACAAAAGATTCCGCGAAGCCGATTGAAATTTTTAATTTCGCGTGGACCCCGGCGCAACACGGACGAGCAAAATTCAATTCGATCGCGGTTTCGCCGAGATTGCTCCATAAAAATCTGCATTTGCATAAATATCCTCGGCCGGGCTATGAAATTCTGCACTGCTCTGCCGAGTTTTAGGCGATCGCGAACAACCGCGGCGGAAACCGGCTCCGTTGTTGTGCCCTATATTTCGCCTAACCCGACCGCGGATGGAATTTCCAATTTTTGAAAGCCAATTCCCGAACGTCGGGCAAACAAACAATACCATTATTTACGGTAGAGTGAGTTTCAATACATACGAAACACTGTGGACATTGCCGAAAAAAGAAATTGATTGCGTCGGGCGGGTTGAAGCGCGTGGTATAGTCACGGATGGAAACACGTGGTATAGTCATACGTGACTTTCTAATAAGCCGATTATGCACCTAATATGACTTTACGACTGATTTTTTTCTTACTTTCACTCGGCGAACATGCCGTCTCGCAGTTTAGCTGGATGAACCTGGCCGAGCACACTCTTCCGGGAACCTACCTGCAAATAGAAATACATTTTTATTGCAATCGATATCGCTGTGACATCGTATGTTATTTTTGTTGATATAAGAAATGGGGCAAGGACAGCTTCGTTTAGTTCGAAGCTGAGAATTACAGTAATTTCTCCGTAATTCGCGCTCAGATTGCGCACAAAAATGGACAATTTGGGAAGTAGAGATGCGACTTTAAAGTTCTTGTTTATTATAGTTATGTTTAATGTTTAATTTTAGTTATTGCTTCGTCAATAACTATAAAAAAACGAGACGCAAGGCTCGAATAATCGTATCTCCTGTTCCCAAACTGTCCATTTTTGTGCGCAATCTGAGCGCCAATTAGGGAGAAATTAGTGCATTGTGATTCACATTTTATTTTCTCTCATCCCATTTCTTTCTCGGGTTATTTTTCGACGAGTATCGAAGGTCGCCGCTATTATTTCGCACTGTGACCTTTAAGTGGCTTCGAATGAGAGAATTTAATGATTTTGTTTCTCGCATAATGGGCAGAATGACGTTGAGTGAAAAAGAAAATATGGGTCATAATATTCTTAGCTTTGAGAACTGAACAAAGCTGTGCCGACGCATTTCTTGATATCGGCAAAAATAACGAAGGCATTTCATCACTGTGTGTAGGATGAAATAAACACACTATATCGATTCGCATTATACTGTGAGTAGAGTGCGGATTTTATGCATTTGTGAACAAAATTACCAGATAAAGGTAAAACAAAAAACTGTGAAAAGATTAAATGATGTTCAGAATATCGAGGTGTTATTACTTTGAACTTGCAATTAGTCAGATTATTAACACCAGGTTTACTTTATTCGAACAACGCGAAATTGAATTTCCAAATTTCCAAATTGAATTTACGATCATTGAAATTGTGAAACATTTATGTTATATTGAAATTGCAAAGAGTATACATTCATGGAAAAATTTATTCAACAAGTACGATACAAGTACTTCATTGGACGTATAACAAAAATTGCTAAAGGTCTCAACAAATAAATGCTCATTGTTTCTTTTTAAGAAAAAAATAATTTCTGCGATCGACCGATTTTTATTTCGCACAAAGACCCGCTGCCTAATTGTAAGCAACAGTAGTTGCTAGTTAGTAGTTAGTAGTCTAAATTGCTAAATGTCAACACTATAGTGCCGAGTTTTCCAATCTATCTTTTCCATTGCAGGATTATGTTGCACTTTATCACGTTCACATTAATCTACCTTAATGCGGCGTGGCTCTGAATGACGGTTTATTTATGTTGACAGTTATAATACTTGCGCTTTAGACGCTAATTATTAACCAATGTAGTTTACGCCGTTGCGCGCCTAGTTACTTCCTCTTGCGTCAAACGCGATTTCTCTAATCAGATCATTTCAGCTAATACGGTCTGAGCACGTTCTCGTGTAATTAACGGAGTCCGCTGCGCATAAAGTTTCTATATTTAGTACCTGTAACGAGCTGATATATTCTCGATTTCGTGTTTACCAAGCGTGGACATTCTTCGATTTTCGATCGCATTAACCGCTGAATTTCTTTCAATTCCTTCGATACGGGTTTTACCATCGCAAACAATGAAATCTGCGTCGACTTTCGTTACAGTTATATGGTAAATGCGATTACAACTGATCGGCACTTTATTAACATAAATGAATCATATAATATATGATTATAATATATATAATATAATAATATAATAATGTAATGTAATGTAATGTAATGTAATGTAATGTAATGTAATGTAATATATATAATATATAATATAATAATATATGATTATAATATATAATTTAACACTGGAACTGCCAAGGCCTAAACAATTCAATTGTTGACAATCGGCAACTATAAAAACGAGAGAGAGAGAGAGAGAGAGANATATAATAATGTAATGTAATGTAATGTAATGTAATGTAATGTAATGTAATGTAATGTAATGTAATGTAATGTAATGTAATGTAATGTAATGTAATGTAATATATATAATATATAATATAATAATATATGATTATAATATATAATTTAACACTGGAACTGCCAAGGCCTAAACAATTCAATTGTTGACAATCGGCAACTATAAAAACGAGAGAGAGAGAGAGAGAGAGAGAGAGAGAGAGAGAGAGCCGCAAGACCCGAATAATCGAATCTTCTCTTCCCAAATTGTCCATTTTTCTGCACAATCTGAGCGTCGATTAAGGAAAATTTCCTGTACATATCGTTTTATAACAATAACAAGATTGTGGACTTATTCAAACCTCCTCTGATCTTTACTATAATACATGAAAAGTTGCGCATAAAAATTTCCGTCAAAAAACATTGTCATAGATTCAGGGATTGCAAAAGAAACAATCAGAAACTACGTTCCAATATCAGCTGGCTAAAATTGTAGACGATGTAAATCGCGTTATTTTTAACAACTTCGCAGCTCGTTCGGAGGCGGCAAATCTTTCGCCGATCCGGAAAATGTGTTCGTTGATCGAAAGCATTTTGTTCATCCCGGTGAAAATGCGGCAGCTTTCCGTGCGACACGGGTTTTCTCGTTCGACACAGCGCGAAAATTATGTCAGGGTTTGCACAACGCGATGAAAAAAGTTCCGCGCGTCGTACACGATGCACGCGCGGTGTCCGCTCTGGTGTGTGTTTACGACAAGATATGCTCGCAAGAAACTGCTGGCACATGCACAACGAAGAAAAGTAAACAACGCAGGCGTCAAAGGTATCGATCAGCGTGTTTCAAGCTGTATTTATCGAAGATCAATGAGTATTAACATTCAACCTACCTAAAACAGTAATACTAACTGGCATGTACTGCATCACAAAAGCGAGAAGACCGAATTTATTTGGAATTTAAAAAGCTTTTGTTATAAAACTTGCTCCAATAATATAACTGATCCAAGCGTTTTCCACGAAAGAGTCTCGGAACTTTGCAGAATTGCGAAATAAGGAAAGCGGTCACTTTGACCGCGGTAGGTTTAGTGTTAATTATTTCTAATAAAATCCATGTTGAATTAAAAAATTGAATTACCGTTTCGTAAATCATTATTACAGAGACTGTTTCGACCAATCGTTGCAATCGACTGTTGCAATCTCTTTGAAAATATGCACGCGTGGCTGTCGTAATTAGACTGCGGGTTTGATGGATTTATGACAAAAGTCGGTCGAAATAAATGCGCATAACGTTTCAGACTCTACGTCAATCGAACGAGAAAATGAATTGAATTGATCTGGAGTAACGTGCAGACTTCGTGTACAACAAGTGGTTGGGCTAAATCGAATTACAAGTGATTAAATTAAATCAAATTCGGAGTGGAAATCTGAGCATGCTAGATTCATCGATTTTCATTTGATACCGAACTATCGCGCGAAACTGATTCTCTAGAGGATCATCGAAACACTCGAAAGCATCGAATATTAAATTCCATTATTCGAGTTTGTTTATTTTCAAGAGTTGATTGTTGGTATATACAGTGGCTCGCATTAATATTCGGACACGATATTGTTAGAAGAATTATTTCTCCCTTTTATTGTTTATGATAGTATCATTGAATCAATTGTTTTCTCATATAATAAAACACTTCTTAAAGTAAGTAGAAACGTAAATTTTGTTTATTTATTGCACATGTTCCTCAGGTCATTTGAAGCAACTCTTTCCTTTACACAAATTTTCTCCGAGGCACCGTTAACGAGTTATTAACGAAAAACAGTGACCAATAAGAATCGAGTACGGCTGACGCGAGGCGGCCCAGCCAACGAGCGCGCGAAGCCCAGTTCCGCTCATTGGCTCGGTCGCCTCGCGCCAGCTGAGCTCGCCTCTCATTGGCCACTGTTTTTCGTTAATAACTCGTTAACGGTGCCTCGGAGAACATTTTTGTAAAGGAAAAAGTTGCTTCAAATGATCTGAGGAATCTACCGTTTCCGTATTGCGAGACATTTTTGGGACATCCTGTATATAAGTCGTTTTAATCCTTCAGCCGTGGACGACGCGTATACGCGTCATAAGGAAACAGCAATTGAGCCGTTTATTTTGAAAGTGGCATAAGTCAGTCTACCGTAATGAAAAGTGGTGATTTCTTAATGTTTATACGAAATTATTTATACTGAGAAAAATATCAGTATCCTGAGATACAAATAAATCTTCTCGAAATATATCGAAATATATAAAAAATATATCGACTTAAAAACAAAGTGACTTATGCCACTTTCAAAATAAACGGCTCAATGGTACATTTTACGACAAAAATACTTAGGTAAAAATGCTCCTGAAACATATTCATAAATTCCGCAGACTTTGGAATTATTTCCAGAACAACTCGCCGGAAGAAACTGTACCCGGCGCGATCAATGAAAAAACGCATACAAAAAATTGATCTTAAGATTAGAACAATCCAGTGAAGTGGTTAAACGGACTGGTATCATTTAATCGAAATAAATACATAGCATCGAAAATTTTGAAACAAATGGACCGGAGGATGAATTGAATTAATCTCGACCAGCGCGCGTACTTCATACAAGTGGTCAAATTAAATCAGATTAGCGGTGGAAATCTGAGTGTACTAGATACATCGATTCTCATTTCGTATGTACTATCGCAAACCTGATTCTCTGGAGGACCATCGAAACGCTCGCGAACCATTGAACACTAAATTCTATTATGAAAATTTATCTGTTTGCGAAAGTTGATACTTGTAGTCGAATGTGAAACGGGACTGTTATCCATTTTATCTAAACAAATACGGTAACGTCGAGGCATCGGAATAAATAGTGTTATTAACCCCTTAATGCACAATTTAAAAAAAAAAAACCGACCAAAAAAAGTCAATTTTTTTTATCTAAGAAAATACATATTTGGACCTTAATTTCAATAAATATGTAAAAAAAATGCAAAAATTACTAAAAATTCAATAAAAATAGTGGATAAATAATTATAGTGAATATTGTATCGCATTGTAGATCGTACTGTTTTTCAATTACCAGTTACTATTTTGAAGGGGAAGGAGGAGACG